TTAACAGAAGGCAGTGACTTCCAAGTGGCTCCTGCTCGTATGCACTCTTGAGCTTAAGAGAAAAGCACACTCCCTTCCAGTTCAGTTGGTCAAGGCAGAGTCTTGTGCAGCCTAGGGAGCAGTCTGAGGAGGGATGAAGAGGCCACCACAGAGAACCTAGTATCATGAAAGGAACAAAGAAAGGAGGTGTCCCATCTCAGTGTCCCAGTGCACAGAATTTGACAGGACAGGGGGAAAGGGTGTGAGGTAGCTGCATGGAGGGCTGGGGTGCACATGGGGGGCTGGGGTACATAGGGCTGTGGATGCATGGGAGAGTCCTGCTATAGGGAGAACAATCAGGCTATAGGCCGGAGTGTGACTTCCTTCCATGGCCTGGGAGTGATGCTCAGTTGTACATGGGGAGGTCAGAGGTCCTCTGGAGGATATATGGCAGCTGAAATCAGGGAAGCAGGTGGAACTTGAGCACAGTGTTGGCTTGGTGGGCAATGCTCTATCTTTTGCATCAAGACCCAGCTTTGGAGGGTGAGCAGACTTCCTCCTCTATAAGCCAGGTAGTGTATGGAGTTGAACAGTGTCCTTTGAGTCCATCTGGAAAAAGGGTCTTTGCAGCTGTTGTATAGCTATGGTCACCCTGGGGAGGTGTTCTAGTCAGCAGGGATACCAATATGAGCATGGCAGATGTCCCTTGCTGGGTCACATTTGCTGGGAAAGTCAGAAGGGACCTATCTTTGGTGGTGGCTTGAGTTTTGGTCCTTTGCCACTGAAGCCTGGCAAGTTCACCTTTTTGAGGGACCTCGGGGACATCAAAAGGAGAACAGTGGGACCAGGAAGAGGTCCTTGATGGGAGATGTCATTCTGTAAATATGTTTCTCATACTGGTTAATGAATAAAGCACTGTTGGCCAATAGGAAAGCAAGATAGGCTAGGAGACAAGGAGGATTCGAGGAAGGAGTAAGGAGGAGTCAGCATGTAGAGACCGGGCAGAGCACAATGCCAGCCCCTCTCCGGTAAGATGAGACCACATGGAAATACTTAGATTAATAGAAATGGGTTAATACTTAAGACAGAGCTAGCGGATAAGAAACAAGTAACCGGCCAACAACATTATATTTAATACAGAGTCTCTGTGTGTTATTTGGGGCTGGTGCCACCGTGGGATCAGGCGGCAGAGAAAAACCTACTCCTTACAGGTCCTCTGGTTGCCCTTGCTTGGGGAGAGTCTGTACTTCCTGGTTCTCCCTTCAGTGTGAACAGCTCAGCAGGACTTCGTGTATGGAGCTGAGCAGGTGGTGGCAGGCTGGATGCTGGGCCGTCTTTGTCCCCTCTCTTCATTTGCTTGATGAAGCTTAGTGGAGAACTTGGCCCTAGCTCTGAGGAACTCCAGAAGCTTAGACAGAGGAACCCACTTGAGGGAGCCCTCAAAGAGCCAAGAGCTTCATGTAAATCTATGCTTCCTGCCTACTGCAGCCTCTAGATAGCCTGTGCCCACCCAGGTGTGTGCCTTCCCGCATCCAGGTGCCCATGCCTCAGCATCTTGGCTGTCTCTTCCCACTATCCCTTCTCTGCAGCCTCTAGTGGGCATTCCCAGGGCTGGGCATTCCCAGGGAGGTCAGTGTCAGGTTGCCAACCCTCTACCTGCTTTGCTCTCTATCTTCCTTTCTTTTTCTTTTTCTCTGTCTTTTTATTTATGTGTGCACACACATGCTTGTGTGTGTACCCATGCAAGTGCAGAAGCCAGAGGACATCAGATATCTTCCTTTGTCACACTACTTTATTTCCTTGAGACAATGTCTGTCACTAAAACTAGAACTAGACTACTAGACTAGCAAGCTCCAGTGCATGTGGCTGAGCTTGTCTTTTCACATGGGTGCTAGGGATTTGAACTGGGATCCTCGTGTTTGTTAGCAAGCCCACTTACACACTGGGTTATCTTCCCAGGTCCTGATCTTAGTTTTCTCAGTTAAAGCCATAGTCACTGAAGTTCCCAGAAATGGGATAGGGAGGTTGTATTCATTGTGGGAAGGTGGTTGCAGTTTTACAAGACAAAGCATTCTAGGATGGATGGGTATAGTTAACATCACCTAATGCACCCTTAAAAGTACTTAGTATATTCTGTGGTATGTGCATCTTACCATAGTAAACAAATTGCTGGAACAAAGCCATTGGAAGGCACTGTGGGGCATTTGGAGAGAGACTGCTTGAAGCCACTCTTAGCTAGCACCCTGGTAGAGTTGTGTCTCTATTCATACCCATTAGCATAGGGTGACCACAGGTTTGTGGTGCTTTGCAGCTGGTGTCCTGTATGAAGCCATATTAGACATGCCACTGCCTCTGCCCTGTGCATGGCTGCTACTGATTGAGAGATTTCCAGTGAGGATCTCCACACACAAAGTGTGCTCCCTTCCTTTTGTATCGATGGTGGGATCAGATCCCACAAGGTGGAACACTGGCTTTGCAGACATTTGTGTTCCAGGATCCTAAAGTGCCTGCAGTATTAGTGTGTGTTGGTTTCCTGTTTGGTAACTTGGCCAGTTTTTGTGTGAGCTAGGAAGTGGTTCCTTCCAACTCCTGTTTAGTCATGCATCCCTGGAAAATGTGAATCTCTCTTTCACATAGGCTACCTGCGTTGCCTATTGCATTGTGTGTGCTTTTCCTTTTAAATGTGTGAGCTTATTTGGTTTTGTTTTTTACATTTGTCTAGTAGTCTATATACTTTTTTACTTTGCGAATTTATTTTTCAGTCTCTTAAAAATAGATTTATTTATTTTATATTAGGTATATGAGTGTTTCTCCTGCACGTATATGTGTGCACCATGTGTGTCTGCAGAGGTCAGAAGAGGGTACCTGATCCCCTGAAACTGGAGTTTCAGGTGGCTGTGAGCTACCATGTGTGTGCTGGAAGCTGCTCCCCCTAGAAGAGCAGCCAGTGTTCTTAACTATGTTGAACCATCTCTCCAGCCCCCACTTTCCATCTCTCAATGTAATTAATTTTCCCTTTCTGTGTAGTGTACTGTGTATGTTATGGAGTCTAATGTCTTGTCCCTTTGGTCCCCCTGCAAGTCATAGTTCTTGTGTGTAATATGTTTCCCTGTGGCTGGCACGTCCTCCCATCCTGAGTGACTCCTTTCCCCACCCACCATGGTACTTACAGCTGGGTGTAGGTTAGGTTCCGTTTCCTCTTGGTGGTCAGCACTTAGGCCCTCTGACAGGCTGCATGCCTCCACTGGTCTGCACTTAGGCCCTCTGACAGGCTGCATGCCTCCACTGGTCTGCAATTTAGAGCAGAACAAATTCTTTTCTTTCCTCCCCCCCCCCCTTTGATTTGTTTTCCTTTCTTTCCTGACAAAATCTCATGTAGTCCAGGTTGGCCTTGAACTTGCTATGTAGCAGAGGATGACTTTGAACTTCTGACCCTCCTGCCTCTATCTCCCAAATGCTAGCATGACAGGCATGTGTTACCACAGTGCTGGGGATTGAACCCAAGGTTCCATCATTCTAACAACTGAGCTATTCTTCCTTGTCCCCAGAGCAATTTCTGATACGTTCTGGCTTAGGTCTTATGTGTTCTACCATTAATGAGTCGTAGGCCTTGATTGCCAAGAAGAGCAGGAGCCTGGGGGCAGGCAGGCTTGTGTGTTCAGGCTGTGATTTATCTGTCCACCGAGGGCTTCCGTGCTGCTGCCCCAAACAGGAAGTTCTTCCCGCCTTGCTGCGCTGAATCCACCCAGTTCACTCCCCTGGTTTTCCTTGCATAAAAACAATCTTGTGGTTGACTGGGCCTAGGCCCAGGACTGGGGTCAGGCCCTCAGCATGTGTCATCTTGAATTCCCAGAATAATTTGGCCTAGCTGGGATAATTTCTATTTCAGAGGTAGACATCTCAGCTCAGAAGGGAGGTGAACGGCAGAGCAGGTTGGAGCCCAGGAGCACCATTGGTGCTATACCCTGGGGCTCCAGGGCTCTTGAAGATGTCAGAGCAGGGTCTGTGGGAAGGGCAGCCTGTGGGTCCTGACCTGGAGCTGTATGGTTGGAGCTGGGGCCTTCCTGCCTAGTCAGCCAGCCCTGCTATCGGCCTGGGAATGAGGCCAGCTGGACACTGGGGGAAAACAGCCCTTCCCCCTGCCTCCTGGGGATTTTGAGGGTTGTCATGGCTCTCCTGATCCAGTTAGGACAGTGGGGTGGAGAGCAGGCCTCCAGGAGGTGTCCATCGTTTGGTACACATTATCTGTTAATTTACATGAGCTTTGTATGAGGCACACAGTGTATAGTGTGACGCGTGGTACCAGCTTTTGCCCAGCTTCTATCTGAGTCCATTTCTGGGAGGGCTTTGTTATAGGAGCTGAGTCTCCAGGGCCAAGCCAGTATTTGATGGTGAAGGGGAAAGTTGGGCAGACAAAAGAATGGATAGAGCCCATCCCTGCCCATTTTTGTGCAGGGTGTCTGCAGAGGCAGAGGTGATGCTTGGGCCCAACCTTAGTGCTGTCCCAGACAGTATGCAACCTAGCTTTCAGGCTTAACTCTTAGCATTTTGGAAAGTGGTCAGCCTTTTCTGTCCCAGCTCCAGTTGTCCCTTAAGTCTATCACACTGTGGTGACCCACAGTGGACCCTCTGTGTTGGCCAGGAGGACTCTTCTGAGAACTTGGGCTTCCTTCTGCTTTGTGAGGACTTTGTTTTGTTTTTCGTGACAGGGGTTTCTCTGTAGCTTTGGAGCCTGTCCTTGAACTTGCTCTTGTAGACCAGGCTAGCCTCAAACTCACAGAGATCAGCCTGCCTCTGCCTCCTGAGTGCTGGGATTAAAGGCGTGTGCCACCACCGCCCAGCTATATAAGAAACCTCAGTAGCTGGCCAGGTCATCTGTAGTTGGGTGGTGGCTGGTCTGATGCGGTCTGGCCATTCATTGTAGAGCTGGGTGCTTACCATCAGCCTCGGCACAAGCAAGAACCAAACATGGCGGGGCAACAGGCAGCAGGCGGCCACTGACGTGTTTTGTTCTCTTGCAGGGAATCCTCCCGTCATGTCCAGGTGAGGCCGAAGAGTGCCGTGCTGAACATGCTCAGGAGGCTGGATAGGATCAGGTTCAGAGGCCACAAGAGAGAGGACTTCCTTGACTTAGCCGAGTCTCCAAATGCCTCGGACACCGAGTGTGGAGACGAGATCCCTCTGAAGACACCACGGCCCTCACCCCGGGACAGTGAGGAGCTCAGGGATCCTGTGAGTGTGTGCCAGTCCCTGAGTCTTTTACATCCTCTGATGTGGACAGCCAGGGTATTAAGCCCAGTGCAGAGTGTGGACATGCAAAGACTCATGCCTCATCAGGCAGTTTAGACATAGGCAGAGGCCAGTTCCCTGTCTCCTGTTGCCTGTGCACTACAACCCGCAGAGCCCACTGGGGCAGGCCCTTGCCTTGGTGGGACTTCTGTACCAAGCTTTGTCTAGAGGCTGCATTGCTTTGTCTTCTTTGCTGTTTTTTCTGGGTGTTTTGGAAACTTCTTATATAAACACAATGTTGTAGCCTGGCCTGACCCTCTTCCACCAAGGAACACTGGTGTAGGAGTGGGGCAGGGTGAAGCTGGTCTATAAACTGCTGGCACTCAGCTTGTCTGTCCATGCCAGGATGTATGTCACTGACTCAGTCACTGGCTGAGTTCTCATTAGCCCACACGGTGGTCAATGGCAAAGAGCTGTTTGTCCAGGTATCAGGTATCACTGGAGAATCTTAGCCAGGGCAAGGCTTTGGTGTGAACAAACCAAGGGCCCCTGCCTTCCAGTGCTTGCATTTCATGGGTGTGTCTGGTGGGGAGTCTAGTTGAGCTGGGCAAATGAGTACCTTGTATTCTTTCGTCTGGACGGGCCCCTTCGGTCTCAGGCTGGCTGTGGTGTGTACAGCTACTCAGTCCCCCTCCCTAGTACCCCAGAATCCTTGAATGTACTTGATGGCTGTTGGTTTTCCCTCTCAGCCCCTGAACCTTGTAATCTTTCTAGATGTGGCTGTGATCACTGGCCTTCCCCTAGCTCCTGTATTATTAATGCTTCATAATAGGGTGGTGACTGTATACTGCTCCTGACAAGATTAAAAATTTACTAGTGCTCCCTCCTGAGAGCCTGGCTGTGTACCCTATGCTGCCTGCTAGGTGGGTAGGGCCATTTGCCTTCCTGGTGTATTGGGCTGGTGCTGTTCCCAGAGTTCAAAGGCCTTGGTTAGTCCCTCAATTTTTGGTCTAGGGGTAGGTCAAACATCTAGCTTGGTGTGTCCCTTTTTTAAGGTGACAATAGAGAGCAAATAGAGGACAGAAAAACTGTATCTTGTCCAGTGCTAGTGTGGAGGTGTGCAAGCCACAAGTCTGGGTAAGATGAAAGTCTTTGGACTGAGGATCTCAGGGATGCTCAAGAATTGCATGCGCACACACACGCATAATTCACATGTATATACACACATGCATACATACATGTAAACAGAAATATACATGCACACACATATATGCACATGCACATATATATACATGCATACATGCACATACACACATCTGTACACACATGAACACCTGTGTGCTATACATGCACACACATACACACATGATACAAGATTTATGGTTCAGTGGCCAAAGGAACCATTCAGAGGCTATTCTCCTGGCTCTTGCTCTGTCTGCCCATCTGCGTGTCTAGCCAGGATTGCATAGTAGAGTTGGACTGGGCCTGGGCCCACTTACCCGAGTGTGCACATGTCTGAGGTAACATGAGGTTGTGTGTAGAGAAGAGGGTGGTATATGGGTTTCCAGAGAGAGGTACCCCAAGTCCTCACTTGGCCACTTGCCAACTGCAGGATCTAGCTAGATTGCAGTTAGAATTTCCTGTTATGCAGCCCGTAGGTGCTCTTAGCCCATGTGGCTTACCATCCTGTATTGTCTGGCCAGCCCTGAACCTCCTGCTGGTGACATAGCTAAGCCTAGAACTGACAGAAGATTCTGAGGCTGTGACAAACCCATGGCCACATGTAGGGTTGGAGACCCTCATGATAGACATGGGCTTAGGTATTAGTTGGTGATAGTTATATAGTAAGTGGCACATTCTTCTAGGCCAGGTTTTTGTGGCTACTTTGGGCAACATTGGTTTAGATTGGGACACCTGATATGTGGAGAGGGCAGTTAAGTGTGTGAACTTAAAATTTGCATATTCTGCCTTGCTTTTCTTGACATCCCAGGAAGAAGGTCCCTGGTGTGTATTTTAGTCCCCAGAGGTACCATGGTGGGTGAGTTGACCTTAGGCAGAAGAGAGCTGGCTCAGAAGGTTCAGGTGCTGTGCTAACTAGAGAAATAGGAGGGGAGCTTACAGGATATGGGGGTCTTAACTGGAGGCAGAACATCTTGATTTATAGGCTACCAGGAGTCCTTGCAAGGGAGGAACAGTATTGAAACTCATTGTTTTAGGGTGACTAGTTTGGAGGAATAGTTTGGAGCATGTGGGCTCCTAAGGGTGGCAGGAGAACAAGAAGGGACATGCCAGAGCAATGGTGCTAGTTGGAAGGGCCATTTCAGATGTGTAGGAAACTCCTTGTGAGGCAGGAGGGCCCCGAGAGGAGTGTTGACTTGGGAGGTAGGCTTGGCATCCTGGACTGCAGCTGAGAACTGCCGTTTGCAGAGGTCTTGCAAGGTCAGACCTGGGACTAGGCTCTTGTGGCTTTCGGAATTAGGGAGCCCTGTAGGGAAACCACTCAAGGGACCTGGATGCCAGGAATCATGGGAAGTCCCTGCTATGGGTTCAGCCCTAGCTTGGACACTGTGCAGAGTGCCAGTTCACTGGCTGCAGAGGGACCAGGTGTTACTGTTTGCCCTTCACCCTCCCCTCAGTACACAGTTTAAAAATGGGACATGTTGGTGTTTGTTCTGGGTGTGGTTTGAGGCTTAAATGAGGTTGGTAACTAGTTGGCCTGTTGTTACCATGCTGGTAGGTATTAGTACGTGTAAGCTAGTGGCTCAGAGGCTCCTCCCAGCCCAGGTCCTTTGCAGGGCTTTGGTCTTATAATCAGCCCTCTCCAGGGACTCCAGGTCAGTGTGCAGTGGTAGATAGCCTCCCATGCCTGTGTTGCTCCTTCTTGGGTGTGTGACAGCCCTTTGCTTTGTGCAGCCCCTGGAGAGATTAGGAACCCAGGCACCAGCACAAAGTTCCTCAGTGCTTGGTTGGTTTGATGCCAGCCTCTTAGCAGCACCCTTGTGGTGTTATAAGGGCCATTGTGTGAGTCTAAGTCAATGGTCTCCAGTGTATACTTTATATTGTGCAGCCTAAGAGGGACTGTGTGTGCTTTAATGGTCACTGGTAGATTCCCCAGCCTCAGCTCTGCCTACTGCCTACTGCTGTATCTCTGTGGCTTTGCATATTAAAAAAAATTTCCCCCGGGCAAGGTGGTATATGTCTTTAAGCCCAGAATGTGGGAGGCAGAGGCAAACAGATCTCCACAAGTTCAAAAACAGAGTATATGTATCTGTCTGTCTGTCTGTCTGTCTGTCTATCTATCTATCTATCTATCTATCTATCTATCTATCTATCTATCATTTATCTATCTGTGTATGCTCTTATGCTCGTTATGGCATGTGTATAGAAGTCAGAGTACAATTTGTGGGAGTTGATTCTTTCCTTCTACCATAGGATTCAAGCTCAGACTATCAGGCTGCAAGTGCCTTTACTTGATGAGCCATTTCATTGGCTGGGTATTGCCTATTCTGTACATTTTCCTGTAAAATGACTGGTACAGTGTGTGGCCATTGGTATCTGGCTTTTTTTCCTTTTTGTGGCTGAATAATGCCCTGTGGTTTGGTCTAGGGGTAGAGCTCAACAGTGGAGTGGTTGCCTAGCATGTGTAAGGCTCTGAATTTAATCCCAAGTGTATCTATAGCCTTAATTTTCTGGAGTGATCACATGTGTCTAATTCTAGCACTTGGAAGGCTAAAGTGGGAATAGGTTATATGTCAAGTATTGGGCCAGCCATGGCTACATAACAAGACTGTCTCAAAAATAAACAACAACAACAAATTCCTAAAATAAGCAAAACAAGCCCCAGGGTTTGGATGGACCCATGTTTGTTTATCCACGTATAGTCTAGTAGACATTAGGTTTGTTTACACTTTTGGGCTCTGACAAGCAACAGAACACCTGGGAATATAGTTTCTCACAAACATCTGTTTGCATTTGGAATCACTGGGTCTTGAGGAGGCTCTGTGCTTCTGAGGGACCCTATGGTGGTTTTCCTAGGTGACAAGGCTGTTTTCCATTCCCAGGTGTGGGGTCTGTGGATTCCCCTGGTGGAGGTGGCACAGACCCCCATTCATCAGCACCCTGTGGAGCTCTCTGAAGGGTGTTGAGCTGCCCCACTCAGCAGGCATCCATGCTTCCACTGTGGAATATGGTTCTGCTTCTAGTAACCTCCCCACTGAGGGACACTAGTACCCTCCAGCTTGCAGTATTGCTTGGTCTGTAAGTCACATGCCCACATAGGCCAGATCCCACTCCTATGAGGCAGTGATGGGGCCTCTAATGTCTGCTGAGAGCTGCCCTCCTCCAGACAGTTCATCCCTATGACTGGCTGACAGGCCCATGCTCCCTTGCCCCCACCCTGTGTGCTAATTCAGACAAAATTGACATCCCAGCTTGCCTGGGTTTTTATCATGAGAGAGATGGCCATGTTTATGTTCACTTTATTGTGTAAATTTACAGTGGTTTTGTCCCAGCCTTAGTTTGTGTCCAGGCCCCTGGCTTCCAGGTCGCTGTTACTCCTTCAGAGTCTGAGAAAGGGACAGTTAGGGAACCATGACACCTGCAGAACGATTCAGTTCAGAACTTCAGCACAGTACCCTGGGGCCTGGTCACTTGTCCAGGCCCCTTAGGCCTACCTTCACTGCTGCTGGGGTCAAGGGACTCCCCTGAGCCGTGGCTTCTTCTGTGCTGAGGCCACTGGAATCACATGACCCTCAGGCCAGGTGTGGGAATCCCATGCAGGGATGTAAATGAGTGCACACATGTATAGCTAGCTATCCAGAGAGGAGCTGGCTGCTTTTGGCAGGTTGCTGAGCATATCAGTTTGACCATTCTGTCCCCGCCCCCTCTGCCTTCCCTGCCAGCCTCCGCACCTGCTGCATGCCTGTTGTGTGGCTATCCCCGCTCCCTACCGGGAAGGTTGGCTTACAGGCTGGCAGGCCCTGCTTCCTCTCCAAGCTTCCTTCTTACTCCTATCACCTGGGATTCACCCTTCCTAGCCTGACACGCTGAGAATTGAGTGGAGTAGAGTAAATGGGCTGGTGGTGCTGACTGCCCTTAACATGGTCTGTGTTGTGTAGTGTTTGCCTCTTGTTCATGGGATCTTCTTGGCTATGTAACTCATAACAGTTACCTAACAGCTGGTTATCTACTGGGCAGGGCCTCACTTACCTTGCATGGGCTGTGCCTACTCCTATGGCTCCCCTAGGACATTTGCCTGACAAATGGGACAGCAGACTGGCCTGCGAAGCCCAACATAGTACTTGCACTGTAATCCTGCTGGTGCTGTGAGTAGAGCTAGTGAAATATTTAACAGTTTCCTTGTAGGGCTAGATCAGACTGCAGTCAGAGCATGGGGCATTTCTTAGCAATGAGGTGGGAACAAGGCTGTAGAGCTCCTGGGTTGCTGGATCCCATTTCAATTCAGCATTGATGACCTCCTTCCTAAAATAGGGCTTGTCTTAACGTGCTGGGGGCGGGGAGGCTAGGTGTGACTCAGTCACACAGAAAATGAGGAGAACTTGGAGAAGGTGCAGAGACAAGAAAGCCAGAAGAGATGGAGACAAAGAAATCAGGGTGCACATGCTAGAACCAGCCTGAGTAGAAACCCTGAGAGAGCATATAGTTGCTTCCCCTTCAGGAGGTGGTGAAGCCATGGGAAGTCAAGAAGGGGCAGAGTTAGGAATTAGGTGCTGGCCAGGACCACTGGCCCAGAGCATCTTACATGTGTCCTGATTTTTGCATTTGAGATTGTGTGAGTTCCAGGGTCCCTTCATGTACATCCACTTCAGGCATCTGATTACCCATCTGCCTTTGATGTGCCAGGGGCTAGTTGAGACAGGCTTGGCTACAAGTTTGATAGCCTATATAAGTGGGGTCCTGTACACAGGCCACTGCACAATGAGTCTCAATAGCCTCTCTTCTGACTCTGTGTGTTTAGTTTGGAGTTGACTGGGTCTGAGCCACCTCTGGACAGACGTCTGCCTGGTGTTTCTGGGCTTGGGGTCATCTGGTTTCCTACCTGACAGTGAGCTTTCTTAGGGTCCACTGCTGTGTGACTTGGAACACAGGTGGGTGCATGTCCTCTTTGGGAGTTTTCTTGTCTTGGACAGGGGTTTTGGAGTGCCAGGGTACTCATGAACTCCCAACTCTTCTAAAAAGATGCCTCTTAGCGGGATTTCATCTGTCAGCATTGGTCTGGAGATGGACATCCATAGGGCCCTGTGGATAGACTGTACAGCAGAAGTTATTGTGCCTTCAGCCATCCCAAGCTTTCACATGTTACTGTACCAAGGGACCTGGTTCATAGCCCATAAACCTGGTAAAGACAGCTGGAAGTACAGGCTAGGTGCCCAGGCAGAGTATCCATGGACTGGGGGGGCTTTGTGTGAAGTCTCTGCCAGCCCTTCACTCAAGGCTATGGCCCCTGAAGGGTAAACATATCCACAGCGCTACCCCAGCTGTCCTGTGGCCTAAGAGAGGTTTGGGGGCCCAGGCAAGGTGGTCAGGTCCCCTCTATTGCTTGCAGGGCTCTGGTGTGCCATTTTGCTATGTCAGTAGCAGAGTGCAGCTGTGGAGATGACCACATGAGTTACCACTGTAGCCTGGGAGGCTGCACAGTGCCGGATGGGGTTCCTTTCTTTTTGCTGTGGTCAGCAGGATGCATATCCATGTCCAGCACTTATGGCATTGGCAGTGGAAGCTGCAACTAGTCAGTCCTTAGGGCAGTGGTAGAATTTGCTCTCTAGGGAGCCTACAGGAAGGACCTGGTGTGGAGTGTGTTCATCTTGGTTCCTCATAGGCCTCATTTAGAAGCTGTTTTTCCCTTCTGGTCTACTCAGTGTGGGATACCCTTGGACTTCCACTAGGAGGTAACTGCTTTGGTTGGGTTATAGTTATTCCAGGCATCCCGACCAGGACAGTGCCATGATTTTTCCCTCTGTAGTACCACAGTCAATGCTATCATTGAGAGGCTTAGTGCCTGAGATACATACTCAAGAGCTTGAGGCAGGTGGATCATGAATCTGAGATAAGTCTGGACTGTATTATAAGACCATCTCCAAAACAAATCGACAGAAATGAAGTTTTTAATACCCTTTCCATTTTTGAGCGGTTATGTGTGGTGTGCATGTTTGCACGTGTAGGTATGTGTGTGAGTGCATTTGCCATGTATGCATGTGGAGGCATGAGGTTGATGTCAGGGGTCATCCTCCATTGCTCTTCTGCTTTATTTACTGAGGCAGGATCTCTCAATCAAACCCAGAGTTCAGTGATAGTGGATCTTGCTAACCCGTCTTCCCTGGAGATTCCCTGTCTCTGCCTTCAAAGGCTGGAATTACCAGTAGGCTGCCATGCTCACCTGGCATTTATGTAAGTTCTGGGGAGCCGAGTTCTGTCTTTCATTTTGTGACAAGTGTGACAACCCACTGAACAATGTCCCCAGCCCTCACATAGGGTTTTGATTTTTGTGTTATTTCTTAAGACCTATGTCAGGTCTGAGGAGATACACACTGTCTGAGATACTGAGGTAAGTGGGTGTGCTAGTACACAGTTGTAGAACTCATGTTTCCTTTCCTTGTTCAGGAAGATGCTCTTGGAGGTCCTAGAGCCATTATATTTGACCGCAATATACTTTTCCTTGTGATCTGTCTGCACTAAAGGAGGTTGCGGCTGCCATCCCAAGGCTCTGGGCCCCCCTAAAACCAATTGGGATCGGGCAAGGCTGCTTTAGCATAACCCTCTGAACTCTTAGTGTTTCCCTTCCAGGCTGGTCCAGGGACCCTCATCATGGCAGCAGGTGTCCAGGACTTTAGCAGGACAGAGTTTGATCGGCTGAACGAGATCAAGGGTCATCTGGAAATCGCCTTACTGGAAAAGCACTTTCTTCGTGAGTACAAGAAAGTACTTATGGGGGAATGGGTCACAACTATGAGTGGGTCAAGCCAGAGATGCTATGGTGTGGATTTGGGACAGGTGTGTGTAAGCACAGTTGTGGGTGGGGACAGGCCTGTGCCAACATTGGTGTGTGTGGGGATAGGTTTGGACCAGGAGGAACGTGGACTTGGATGTTCCCCCCACATGACACTTTCCTTCTGAACATGTGCCTGTTGCCTGCTGCCTCACAAAAACCAGCCATAGCCTGTGATTTGCAGATAAGATGCGGCAGCAGCTGGAATCTGGGAAAGCAGTGACCTCTATCCATGAAAACTGAGTTGATTTCAGTGACTCAAACACAGAATTTTCAGAGCTTCTGTTACCTATTGTTCTGCTACCTATTGGGACTTCAGGAATATTTTGGGACCCCGTTGTCTGTTGGCCTTCCCTTCATGGTTCTATTATGTACTGGGGCTATGGGAGACCCTTGGGACCCAGTTATCTGCCAGCCTTCCCCTCATGGCTTCTGCTGGCCAAATTTTGACCTTTGGAGTAAGGAGGAGGTGAACATGAGTTTTTGGAGTCACAACCCAATAGCATCTCATGTTTGGTCTTTCTCTTAATTTCCTTGTCCTTCTGGTCTTACAGGTGGGTAAACTGAGGCATAGATGACTAAGTCATCCTACTATGTGGCCAGAGTAGTAAGAACTTAAGCCAGCCTGGCTAGCTCCAGAGCCCATGCTGGTGGCCCCAATGCATGACAGTGTTGTCACAGCTAATACTCTTCAGGAGCTGAGGCTGTTGAGAAGCAAGTACAGGAAGAGAGCATCAGTCCTGCTTGCCCAGAGCTGGTCACTATATGAGGCAAGTCTAGGCCAGTGGCAGGGTGTTCCCCACTGTGAAACAATTTGAAGGTACAGTGTGGAACCAGCCAGAGCCCATAGAGATGAGGAAGTGGGGGGGGGCTCTAAAGGTGATGGTTCATGAGGAAAAATGTCTGAAGGGCATACTTGGCCATTCCGCTGTAGGACAGCATTGTTGGCATCCTAGGATTGTTCCCACAGTTCTTTTCTCAGTGTTGCTCAAGGAGCTGTCTTATCCACTCTTGGTAACTGTTAAGGCATTTACCCTGACAGTGTAGAGGCACCTCTGAACAGTCAGTTCTTTTTGTCTTTTTGTAATTATGAAAGATTTTGAATATACACAGAAACAGAGCAGAGTGTGTGTGTTAGAGGCGCCTGTTGACTTTCACACCTGCTTCTCAGAAGCGGATTCTAAGCCAGGCTGGCTTTTGCCCCTCCCTCCCTGGGTGTGTTGGGCAAAGCCCAGCCAGCACTCTATCGCTTCATCTGTAAATATTTTAGTAGATAGCTCAATATGTTTTAATGACAAAAGCTGAGAGACCAAGATGGCAACTAGAACAACAGACAGCTTTTCTTTGATTGCATCAGAGACCGACTGGAGCTCGGATTTCCCCGATAGGCTCATGGTTTTTTGACAACGCTGAATTGATACTCATCAGGGTCCGTGGGTGGGAACGGCTGGTGTGTCTCCTCAGCCTTTTGGTGCCTTCTCTTTCTATTACTGCCATTACCACAGGTGGCTAGCTCACCAAGGCTGGAACTTCCCCACCTTGACTCTGTAAATAGTGGCCTGTGGACTCCCCCTTCTGCCACGCCTCTCTCATAGTGGTGGCTGTGGTTGGTCTCGGGGGCAGACCTCTGATGGTATTGTTGTGTGTTGTTCCAAGGCATCCTGTCCCTGATATCACGGCAGTTGCTAAGTGCAGTCATTGAAGGGACTCTCGCCAGCCAGAACATGGCAAACATGGCCCTGACAGGCCTTGCCCTTCTCCCCCATTCCCTCTGCCTTGCTAAAAACCATTACATTTCTTAATGGATTATATTTCTTAAAGCTAGCCACAAAGGTCTATTCCCCTTCTTTGGCCACTTCCTCCTTCTGAGACTGACTACCAAAATCCAGCTATCAAAGTATTGAAGTCCAGCAATCAAAAGCCCCTTTGGCTCACCTAATTAATATGTCCAATTAGCTTCCAAAATCAGATGAGATATGACACATTTAGGGTGATATGGCTGTAGACTAATATAGCCAATCAAAATTAAGCACCTCATCCTAACACAGGGTTTCCCCCTTTACCTTTAGAAGCTGTTGTTTGCCTATGGGCCGTGTGTGTCTCTATCCAGAGGCAGTTCTTTGTTGTCCCCTCCCCCGAGGACAGATGCCTTTGGCCCCTTCTCCCTTGTTCCCTTCCTCTTCTCCCTATTCTCTATCTCCTGTCTTTGTCTGTCCTGTCTTTGTCTTGTATTCCCTGCCCTATGTCTCTCTGGGGCAGATAAATCTCCTTTTGTGCTGAGAACTTGGTTTTGTGGTGTCCTGAGCTGATACTGATCCTCCATCATTTCATCAGATTTTTCAGACTGGTCGTTTTTTGTATGTCTATAGTTCTTGCTCCATTGATTAACCCACACATTTCTGAAAGCAAATTTCTCTTTGCCTCTGATTACCTTGAAGTGTCGTTCACATGGGAAAGACAGGATGCATGAATTTCCTCTCTTTGTGTCACAGTTTTAAATATGTATAGAATACTTTACCTGAGACCAGAGAGGATACCTACTCTGCTGTGTGTTTTAGAACTGTGTCATCAGGAACCCCAGTGACAAAGCGTGATCATAGGGTTATGACCTGTATATGTGCTCAGAGTCCTTCCTCTGGGCTGTAGATGCCTCAGCCCTTGGCTTCTTAGCCTGCTCACAATGGGACAAGATGTTCGAGCCCTCTGACAAAGTACTTCCTGTCCCGGTGTTGGAATTAATCATTTTTCAAGGCAATTCTGGTCCTTTTCAGTGGAAGTAATTTTTAGATGACAACTGAAGGTTATAGGGTGGTCACTATAGCTGACAGTCCTCATTTTTTGGCCATTACAGTGACCAGGGCTTGGACAGTATGAGTTCAGACAGGTAACTCTGTAGGAGCAGATGTTCAGGACTCTTGGGTGTCTTTACTGTCGTCAACTCATAATGATAGTCTGGTTCTCAGAGGCAGGCAGCACCAGCCTTACTCAGTTGTTTTACCTCACAATGATATATGCAGGTCTCGGGACCAGCTAGACAGGGTGGTACACACACTTAGGAGCACACAGGAGGCAGAGGCAGAAGGATTGTGGAATTGGATGCCATCCTTGGCTATAGAGCTAAACCCTGTCAAAACAAACACTCAAATCTACTAATATCCCAGTGTAGCAGAATGCACCTTTAATACTAGCTCTTAGGAAGCAGAGGTAAATGGCTGTGAGTTAGAGACCAGCCAGAGCTACACTCTGTCTCAAAAATAAAACAAAATGTCAATGCCACTGCCAAACTTGGGACCACTGAGCCAGTCTGTGTTGGATTATGCTGTTTTTGCCCCCAGGAGGACATCTCACTACAGAAGTATCACTTCCTTCAATGGAATGCCACTTGCAAGGTCCCTCCCCTTTATGGTCCTGCCCTCAAGGACAGCTTCATTTGTTCCTCCCACTCCTGTGTTTTTGCAAATTGCCTTAGTTTTGCTTAAATTTATTTTGACTTTATTTCAGACTTAGAAGAAAGTTGCAAAAATAGCACAAAGAAGTTCTGCATGCTTTTCACATAGTTATTCCTCAAAGGGTAACATTTTGCCACGCTTATTTGTCAGTCAAGCTCCCCTTCCCATCATTGAACTATCTATACGTTTATATATATGTGTGTACCTCCACCCATTCTTTTATCTTTCACCCACGTGTCTATCCACCTCTCATCTGTCTGTCCATCCACCCACATATCTATCCATACACCGCCCACATATCCATCTATCTTTCGTCTGTGTACCCATTTCTCCACCCACATCCACCCATCTCCCTCCACTTTTCCATCCATTTATCTACACATCCATCCATCTCCTACTTACCTATTAATCCTCCCACCTACATATCTATCCATCTCTCTCACCCAGCCACACATCCATCCACCCACATCCATCTCTTCCCACCCACTCACCCATCTATCCATCTCCCATCTATCTACCCATCCATCCATTCATCCATCTGTCCATCTATCTATTTATGTTTTTTTTTTCCTGACCTGCCTGATGGTCTGTTTCAGACACAGTGCTTCTGAGTTCTGAATACTCTGCTGTGCTCCCAGAGAGCAAGGCTATTCTCTTATCTAGCTGCAGTGTGCAGCAATCAAAACCAGGAAATAATGTCGTTATGCCATTATCCGGTGTGAGACCTTATTGCAACCTCACTACTGTCTTATTAATGTTCTTTATAGCAAAAGAAAGTTCTGGTCATGAGCAGCCTCTTGAGGCTCCTTTTCTCTGCCTTTGTTTCCTGAACCAGGCATTTTTCCAGGCATGCAGGTCAGTTGTCCATAAAATGGGCTTGGGTATAGATGTCTTCTATTGCTTTAACAGAGACTCAGGACGTGTGGTTTTTGTCCTGAATGTCACAGACATGATGGTATGTCCTTAGCACTAGTCAGGAAGTATAAGATATCGTTTCATCTCATTCTGCAATGCCATGAGTTCCTTGTCAGTTCCTTTGTAGCTATATAAAAATCATTGCATGGGGTGGGGGGGGGCTGTAGCTAAGGGCCAGAAAGCTTGCCAAGCATGCTCAAGGGAGGCCCTGGATCCCTTCTGCAGAATTGGAAGAGGAGAAAAACACCCAGTCAAAAAAAAAAAAAAAAAAAAAAAAAAACTGTTCACATTAGCCACTAGGGATGCTGAGGCAGGAGGTCACCTGAGCCCTGGAATCCAATGCCAGCCTTGGCGACACAGTGAGACCCCATCTCAAAAGCATATAATACAGAGAGGTTTATCTGGCTACACTATCAAGTTATATTCAGAGAACTTGGGTCCCCCTTCCATCCTCCAATTGTCTTCTAATTTACTAATTTCTTCTACTGATTTTTGTGTTTGGTTATACCTTCCCCGGTCAATAAATGTTAGCATATTCAGACTTTGTGCACACTG